CATCCAATAGTTCCGCAACAAGTCCGGGAACCAAACTAGAGCTGAAACGCGATCTCCCCCAATCCGAATCAACAAAACCGACTGTATCTGAAAAACTGCCTACGTATCCTCTTGCCCAAGGAATCAAGCCGAACATAGTTTATCTAAATGACCTCCAAAGGCCTCAATCCACTAGAAGAGTTCGTAACCCTTCTCTAACATCACGACCAAGTCTACGGCTGATAGTACCTCCAATGGCCCCAAACTGAAACAATTCAAACATCTCCATCTGAGATGAACCAATGGCCATATCCAAACTCCATCTATCAGCTACATTCGAATCGATCAACCTATCATCTGCATCTGAATCAACATGATTCCCAATCTGTGTCACATCAGCTGGAATCCCAAATGATGCAGTATGATCTGGAGTATGTGGAGTAAATTCCACCCAACGTGGAGTAGCATCACCATCCACCTGCTGTGATGTCCCAACGATCTGATCAATACTCTTCACCTACCGAGAGTCAAACGTGACATACCTGCTCATAACAAAATCAGAAGCTCCCAACCGATACTCAAATAAGCCTCTGAATCCCAAATACGCAATCGGATCAAATCTCACATTCTCGATGTGACCAAATGCTGGGTAACCAAATATCCGACGCCAATCAAAATCTGAAGTAACTCCACCAGATTCCATATCTCTACACGCAGCAGTCGGCAATCTATACATAAGATGGTCCAAACATGTCGTAGCTCGCACACTAATACCAATGCTCGACATCAAACGCTGATCCTCCTCCAGCAAGGAACAGCTCCCCAAATCTGCCATCTCGCCTCGTCACCTCAAAGTTTCCACACCAATAAAGTATCTTCTATTGCCGTGAGCTCGGCACAAACACAAGAAAGAACCTCTACCATAATCAGAACGTTAGGTTATCTTTCTACCAACACACTTCCTCCATCTGTTGCGGGCTTCTAAGACTTCACACCAACAGGACTTGGTTGCAACCCACCAATGCCTAGAACAATCCCCAACTGTGAAAACTACATACCTATTACCTTCTAATGACGCTCCCTTGGAAGACCCCCGAATGCTTGAATGAACACCCCTCAGAAGACCCCTCAAATGATGGATAGAAGTGACAAACTCTACATTGGTCTTTTCGCTCATACCAATGGGTTCACAGGACTTCAAACTACAGGTCAAAGCACTCCTAAACAACCTATGCACGACATTACCAATCAAATAACCCAGCATCAAACAACGCCACAGTCTAGTCGAATCTGGACATTACCAATCAAATAACCCAGCATCAAACAACGCCACAGTCTAGTCGAATCTGATGAAGTCGTCAGTTCCCTATCAATCGCTGTGTTTCCGAGCAAATAATACAAATTGCTCCTTCTGACACCCTTCATCATAATCATGGACCCCAATGTGACCTTCAAGCGTGCATCCACCAAAGTCACCTTATAGCCTGCTGCCTCCAAAGCTCCAAGTGAAATGATGTTATTCTTCAACTGCAGAACAAACCTCACATCATCCAACTCTCGCATCATCCCATCACTCATCCTAATCTGAACAATACTAATACCACCAATAGAACATGCATGTCCATTACCCATGAGCACAACATCCTCTCTTTCCAACTTCTTAAAGCTGGAGAACCAATCCCTCCTAGGGCAAACGTGGTAAGAAGAACTTGAATCCAACATCCATTCTGTAGAGTCGACATCACAAACTGACGGTAGTACGGATAATGAATAGCCTGGAGAATCTGAATCGTTGTCACTAGACTTGACAACATTTACCTCTGAGCTTGTACAACTTTTCCTTATTCTTCCCGGCTCGATCTATCTTTGGGCATTCAGCTTTCCAATGTCCATCCTCTTTACAAAAAGCATACTGATTCCTACGAATCCCACAATGTGCACCTCTAGACTGCGATCTCCTGCTTCGGTTTGAACCACGGCCATGAACTACTAATACATCTCCCAATGCCTTCTCGGAGGGTTCATCGACACTCTTCCTTAACTCATAATTTACTAACGCTGAGGTCACCTCCTTGTAACTAATAGTAGTTCTTTCATTAATCATAGTTAGGACAAAAATAGCATAATCATCCTCGGGCAACGAACACAAAAGTAGCATCGTCTTGTCTTCATCCTCAATCATAATATCCACATGGCCATGTCTGAAAGTAGCTTCATAAAGTTGTTAACATGCTCCCTGATGGAAACTCTCCTCTTCATCTTGAACTGGTAAAACCTCTTCTTCAAGTGAAACCGATTCTCAATGCTCTTAGTAAGATACTTTTCATTGAATGTTTCCCACATCTTCTTCGCTGACGTCTCTGTTCATCACATCATAAATAAGATCCGACGTCAAGCATGACCGAATAACTCCACACGCCCTATTATTCATCTTCTTCCAAACATTTTCTTTCATATCAGCAGGTTTCTCTTGCAACTCAAGAGTCTCCTCCAAATTCTGTGCATCCAAGGCGTCCATCACCTGACACCTTCACAATCCGAAATTGATCTTGTCATCGAACTTTGGAACATCAATTTTCATGTTGTTGATGCTCAAACTATGTATCATCTTCGTAAGAGACGAACCTGATGTGCTTGCTTTTCCCATGTTGTCGATCTAACTCTTCAGATAGGAATCTTCACCGAATCCTTCGAACAAGCTTGAATCTCTGATACCAATTGTTATGCACGGCGGAAGCTTCGAGGAGCGACACGAACAATCTAAGAGATAAACCACAACCAATAAGCAAATCACAACCACAACAAGAACAAACGATTTACGTGGTTCGACAAGTTGCCTACGTCCACGGGGCAAGGAGAGGGGAGTTCTTACTATTAGAAATCAAGAGAATACAAATAGAGTTACAAATCTCACCGATCAAAACCTAAAACAAAGCTCTAGATCTCTCACAAATCTCCCACAATTAGATGCAACAATCCTCTCTCAAAGACTGCTTAAAATCGTCCTTACTTAACACTAACTAATTACAATTAGGGTTATATATCAACTCAGAAACGAACCGGGTCAAAAACCAAAGTCCAGCCCAAATTGCATCTGCGTCGACCGCGACAGTCGACCGCGCAGGTTTCGCGATCGATATATCAATTCAGAAACGAACCGGGTCAAAAACCAAAGTCCAGCCCAAATTGCATCTGCGTCGACCGCGACAGTCGACCGCGCAGGTTTCGCGATCGATATATCAATTCAGAAACGAACCGGGTCAAAAACCAAAGTCCAGCCCAAATTGCATCTGCGTCGACCGCGACAGTCGACCGCGCAGGTTTCGCGATCGACCGCGGCGGTCGACCGAACCACAAACCCGAGAGTAAAAATCGATTACAGTCATCCGTGGTCGACCGCGACGGTCGACCGGTCAACCGCCAGTCTGCCTGGTTGTTTCTTCAGCTGTTTTCCTGCACTTTCTCGCCATTTCTTCAGGATGAGCATAATCGTCTCGAGCGGATTAGGTGAAAACTAAACTTAATTTACATTAGGTGTCCTTTTAATTAGTTACGATTCGAGACAAACTATAACCAGACACAGATTAATAGCTAATTGAATTTATTATCCAGAAAAAAAAAAAATAAACTCTTTTACTGTCAGAACCGTAACAAGGGGACAGGAAACTTGTGTCTGAACTCTGAATTCAGTTGGGAAGCATGTATTAAAAATGACACTAAAAACCAAAAGCGCATGCATAAAAAAGTGGTGCAACGAGTTAATTCTCTGTAACTAAAAGTAGTCATCAAAATTTAACTTTTCTGCACTCGCTTGGTTGAGGAGTCACAATTACACGGGTGGGTGGGTAACTGGTCCCCTTTACACGCTCACGTACCCGCCTCTCTTTTTTATTTATGCTGTCAATTAAACATGGGCAAATCCGTGAGCCTCAAATGAGAGAGAGAGAGAGAGAGAGAGAGAGAGAGAGAGAGAGAGAGGTGAAACCTACATTTATCCATCTCTTCTATTTCCTGAGGGTCGGCATCACCGACACCTAACTTCAATATTAGACATTTTCATCAATCAAATCCACCGCTATTATTTTGTGTCTTTGTTAAATTTCTTTTGTACCCATTGTACAAACTAACTTAGTTTGTAAACCCACGTTTCTCAAAATGAAAGTTCTCTAAATTATCTTGTAACTAGTTTAATTGGTAGGATAACTTAATTCCAAACCAAACAGAATTATATATCTTAGTTATCTGTATCTGTAAAATGGAGATGTACGTATCATACATCCAAACATACCAGCTTTTTACATTTTTTCCCTTGATAAAATTAATTAACTTGATTTTAAACCCACGTTCCTTAAAATAAAAGTTTTAAATTTATCTTGTAACTGGTTTTTAATAGGATAACTTAATTCCAAACCCAACAGAATTTATATATCTTAATTATCCATATCTGTAAAATCTAGATGCATCAAATTAACATCCAAACTTACCAGCTTTTATATTATTTCATACTAATTCCATTTTTCAGTCATCTTTATCTGTCCACTATTGTTAATAATTTTAAAGAGAAATTTTTTTGAGGGAATTTTAAAGAGAAATGATGAGTAGTATATTGGATACTTTTTTTGAGTTCTTAAACTAATGATAGATAGAGACAAAATGACATATATATTTTTAAATTGCTTTGTGTCTACCTCTATTTTCTACCTTGCATATGACAGGATATGAAAGATTAATATCTTAATAGAATTTTTTTTTACCTACTTAGCTTTAAAGTGATATTTTGGCTTTTGGAAATTCAAGGTTTTAGAGTAAATATCAGTTTCAAACATTTGGTAAGAAAACAATTAATTTCACTTATTCCTTTCCTCATATATACCAATTCATTCATGCATGCTTCATTCAAATCCATACATGCATGATGTATGATGGACGCATCATGATGTGGTGGCTCTAGATGAGTAGATAGAGTAAGAAAGAGAGAGAGAGAGAGAGAGAGAGAGAGAGAGAGAGAGAGAGGCTCATGTTGTCTCATAGTTAGGGTTAGGGTTTTAATTTCTTTTTTGGTAGCTTCCACTTTGTTTCTTTCCCCTCATCTGTGTCATCCAAAAATGGTGTGATGCTATTCTCTTCTGTCTCTCGCCTCTGATGATGAACCCTCTCTCAATGCTTCTTTCACCCTCTTCTGCCACTCCAAGAATTATTGCATCACAAAGAATGAAGACAACAATCCAAGGAGAGGGCTAGTCTTATCCTTAATATTCCATTCTCTTTCTTTCATTCATTCTATCATCTCAGACCACTTTCAAGAGAGAGGAAAAAAATCATCATGGGCAGCAAGAGTTCCGAAAATTCGACATACAACCCCAGTTCAGATAAGGACGAGGAGGAGGAGGAGGATCAAGAAGGAACCCCAAGAAATGGAGGGAGCTCGAGCAATAGCACAGTGGACGAGAGCGAGCGGAAGGCGAGCTCAGGGGGATCGGTTCGACAGTACAACCGATCCAAGACTCCAAGGCTGCGGTGGACGCCTGACCTCCACCTTTGCTTTGTTCATGCTGTTGAGAGGCTAGGTGGCCAAGACAGTGAGTAAAACAACAAAATCCCTTGAGAATTAGTAATTATTTCATGTTCAATTTGGGTTTTGATTGTGTTTTTTTATATTTAGGGGCAACTCCTAAGCTTGTTCTACAGTTGATGAATGTTAAAGGGCTTAGCATAGCTCATGTCAAAAGCCACTTGCAGGTACTAGTTTCGTGAATTTAGTTGATTTCATATGATTGCCATATATATGAGAGGTATGTTGTTAATTTACTATAAATTATTTATTTACCAGATGTATAGAAGCAAGAAGATAGATGATTCTGGCCAGGGTATGCAATTTTATCAAAATTGTTTGATTCTTCTGTAAGTGAAAACAAATTAGGGTTTGAAATTCTTAAAATTTTCTCCGTATTTTGTTGAAATTGCAGTTATAGGTGAATCAAGGAATGAGCTTGGGAGAGATCAATATGTTACCAATCTACGCCAACTTCCAATGTTACATGGAATTCAACAAAGGTCTTTCACCAATTCAAGGTACTAATCAAAATTATTGATGAAACAAATAAAATCATCTCCATATATAATTTCAAAAGTAACAGTTGACATCTCTGATCTTGAACCAGATATGGTAGTGTTTCATCTTGGAGTACTAGTCATGGATATTGGATGCACAATAGGCTCCTTGATAGAGCCAATAGTGCTACTATTGGATCAAGGGTTTATGATTCAACTGCAGAGATGATCTTTGGAAGGTGCAATAGATACCGAGATTTCCAAATGGAAAGATCCATGCTTAATCGAGCTAATAGCGAAGGATTTAACGAACCATCGACAGCGTTTGAATGGCTCAATGATCACAAATTTGGAAGTACTGTCAAGAGATCACTTCACGATGAGCACGATAAAGGGCTAGATTTAGATTTATCTCTCAATATCGGATCTAAAAAGGCAAGGAGAGAAAGGAATTGTGAGGAGGAAGAAGAAGTGGACAGTAGATTATCCCTCTCTTTATTCCCTCCTTCAAGACAAGAGAAGTGCTCTAGAGATATTGAGAAGGACTCAAAGGTTAGTAATGAAGAGCATGAAAGAGGAACAAGTACTCTAGATCTGACTATATGAGTGAAATGTGGTGAGATCTTGTTAGTACTTGCCAAAAGAGGAGGTAATAGCCAAACTCTTGTTCTCTTCAGTTATTTGTTTCTATTTTGTACTTATCATATAGGTATATATATTTTATAACGTAGTAGGACAATGTATTTATGTGCTATCTGGCTTCCAATCTTTGCAATACTCATATGAAACTAAGTTGAAAGAAAGTAATATATTGTCTTGATTGCACATGTTCTTTGACCGCATCTGTGCAGTGGATGTAGAATTTTTCCTTCTAGTGTGACTAAATGTATGCATTGAGTTGATGCAAAGAGGTTAGGTAGAGTATTGACTAGATTCTTGCTCACTTTAGTCTATGAAGGTGCCACTTCCTGCCTAACAAACTCCAGCCTATCCTTTTTATATGGCAATTATCAGGTTTATCTTACTGTAAGTTAATTTTTAAATATTGAATCAGATATTCTATTTAAATTCCCTAGATGTTTTTTCTCTGTTCAAATGTAAGGGACCGCATATTGCGTAGTCTTTTGATTCAGATCAGTTTTCTTTAATATTCTTCCTGAATTTGGACTTCAATTCCAAGATACAGCTCAAATTATTATTCTGCTTTCTTCACAAAAATAATAAAATCATCAAACTTTGAAGTCTTCTTTCTACCTTCAAACTCCTTTGATTTCCTTTTTTGGGTTGATCAAAGGATGAACTTCAAAGAAATTCAAATCTTGTACTGCATTTTTGATCAAGCCATCAATTCTTATGTATATATGTAAAATGAGGTTTTAGCTTAAGAAAAGTCCTCTCTTTTTGAAGAGAATTGCCATGCAGAATTATTTGTTTCTTTCTTATGGTATAAAATTTCCCCTTTATGGCAATGTTTCGGTTACGTACGTATTCAGAGTATAAATGCAAATTATACATAATTTTCTAAGTTGCATGATGAAGTAATATATTTCATACATATTCAATCATGGATTACATTGTAAATTATATATGTACAGGTTTCTGTTACATATTCACATCAACATGGGTATAGATTATATATTATTTTCTAGTGTGTGATGTTGTACCATATTTCATAATGGTTCTATGCATAACTCCTATGGTCCTATATGGAGTTCTAATAAGATTAAGCTGATTAATTGTAATGAACATTTCAGACTGATGCTTCTTTTTGTAAAATATAGGTTCATTCATGTGCTTTAAAATGTTTTTTCTACTAACTACATTCATGCATGCCTAGTTTTTGTAATTTTTTTTTTGCTTGCTATAACTTTTAATCGATAATCAGCAAAAGAATGTTGTCATAAATATTTTTACAATTTGAATTTGTTCTGAGAAAAAATGTATGTCGAATTGAGAACTGTAATGTATACTATAGCATCGCGAGAATAAAATATGGAATATATTGTCTATGGATAATTTTACATATGTCAAAGAATATAAATATATTTGGATTATGAGTAATATATATGGCTGACGTTTATTAGCATCAGCTGGATCATAAATTAATGTGATGCTCGCTTTTATGTCGATTGGATTAGTATTTTACTATGTTTGGCTATATGCATATATACATAAAGGAAGGTGTTTTTGGATCATATAGTTTCTTTTTTTTAGTGATTGATATATATTTTCTGTGCTGCATCTATCCTGTCTGGATTATGTTTCTTGTATATACATAAATTAATGATTTCTATATAATTAGCTATAGATACTTCATTAATTGGTTTCATGGCTAGCTTCAATAATTCTTCAAATTTTTTTCTGATAAATATCTCATGAACGTCATGAATTGTTTGGTTTTCAGTCTGAGTTTCTAATGTGAATATAATTATGTACATGACAGCTATTAACTATCGAGCAGTATTTCGAAATTAAATGGTGGAAACTTACACTAATTATGGCCATGGCTAGCTTCAATAATTCTTCAAATTCTTTCTGATAATTAATACCTTATGTACGTCATGAATTATTCAAATAAAATTATCCAAGTTCTGATTATATATGCATGATCATTGAGCTATTGTTGCTCATCTGTTGCAATTGGTTCCATTATTAATGCTAATTTTTCGTTTTGTTTTGCCCCTTTTTTCTCATAAGTTGGTAAATATTGTTCTATAAATTTTGAGGGAAAATTAATTTCTTCTCATTTTACAGAACTCCTACATATCCAAGATTAGCCTAGTCTAGATATTCTTTGCAATTTTCTTGTCATATGCAGCTTCGTCACAACTTCATTAATTAATAAAAAAAGGTATAAAAAAATGTAAAAGATGAGAGGGGGAAAAACGAAGCTCAAATAGATTAGAAGACTTGAAATTGTCCTTCATGAATATATTATAGATCCCAAATCAAAACAAGGTCAGGTCAGGTCACTATCCTAAACCAATTAAGAGGAAAATCAATGAAGAGTCTAAATTATATTCCGTTTGACATTTTGGCCTCTTAAATATATAAAAAATGCATGCATGATGCGTGCACTTAGCTTTCAGAGGCCCCTATATGATGCTTTCTTCTTTCTGATGGGCCACTGAAGAAGGCATGAAGAGACTCCTCTGTACTGCATTATGTTATTAATTTATGTAGCAATATGTTAATAGTAAGTTCGTGTTAGTTTTCTGTTTGCAGAAAATTAGAGATTTATTTAGGCCTCCGTTTAAGTTTCCTATATCTCCCTCATCATGTACTGTTTTGGTCCAAAGCTCTAGAATTTATTTGTTCCTCTGGTATCGCAACCTCATCCTTCTGTTTCATAATAGATGCGAATTTGAAAGAAATATTCCAGAATGTTGATTTTGTGTTGGTGTTGGATAGCATGGTATTGGGTTAAACTGGATTCCTAATCTGTTTAGGTTTCGGTTTTAGAATTGTTGGATTGCTAGTTTGTTTTGGTTTTAGGGTTACTATATATACAGAACGTTTTATTAGAGAATAAGAGAGAGAAAAAGAGGTTGTTTTGAGCACTTTGAGAGAGAGAGATTTCTGAGATGTGAGTTGAGATCTTTTGGTGAGGGTTATTTTGAGTGTTTGAGAGAGTTGTAACCCATTGTATTTCTCCTCCATATAGTGAAATCTCCCTATATATCCTCTCCCCGTGGACGTAGGCAATTTACCGAACCACGTAAATTCTATGTTTGTAATTGGTTTGTGTCGTTCTTTTGTGAATTGCACTCGTTGGTTGTTCTCCTCCCGTTGCTCGCCGACTCGTTTGGTTTGTGCGTACGCTTTCGCCGACGCGTAACAATTGGTATCAGAGCTTTAGGGTTTCAGACCTAGGGTTTGTTTTGGGTGGAGGAAGATTCGTTGTTGGAAGCTTGGATATTAGAGATCTAGGTTTCGGTAGAGATAGCTTTGCGCAGTTACTGTTGGAGATCTCGCCTTCCTCGTGTGGTTGAGTGATCGTGTTGAAATCTTATCTAGGGTCCAGTTGGATAATTTCACAAATCTATCAAGTTCGAATATTTCTTTACAATTTAGAGTTTGTAAGCAATGGGAGAAGAAGTTGGTGAAAGCAGCAAGATAACAACGAGTACAGTTCAGGTTGCACTTCAGAATACGAAAATCAGTGTTGTGAAGTATGACAGCAAGATCAATTTTGAGTTGTGGATGAGTGATGTGCAGGATGCTTTGAATGCTCAAAATTTGAAAGATACCATCATGGTCCACGAGAGGCCACCGAAGTATGATGAGGTGATATGGGACAAGATGAATCGAAATGCTTGTGGGGTAATTTGATCTTGTTTGAAACAAGAGTTGAAGTACAATGTGATCGGCGTGACGTCTACGATGAAGATGTAGGAGATTCTCAACAACAAGTATCTTACGAAGAGTGTTGAGAACCGGTTGCACTTGCTGTGAATATTGTTTGGATTCCAGATGTCCAGGAGTACCTCACTTATAGATCATATGAACAACTACACAAAGTTATTGTCAGACTTGACGAATATAGATGAGAAGATATCAAATGAGTACAAGGTGATTATTTTATTAGGCTCCTTACCCGATGAGGAGTATGATACCTTCGTGCGCACTTTGTTGAATGGTATATCTTCCATCACCTATAGTGAAGTGACTAATGCGTTAACGAATTTTGACTTGAGGAGGAAAGATAAAGAATCTTTCAGAGCTAGCACTTCAGAAGAGCCTTTGTCAACGAGAGGTAGGAGTCCCTATTTGAGAGGTGGCAACAGATGCAAGTCAAAGTCAAGAGGCCACTACCAATTAGAGAAGAACTAGTGTGCTTTCTACAAAGAACAATGACATTGGAAGAGAGATTACCCGAAACTCAGAAAGAAGGAGAATAGCAATAAGAAGGGCCTGAAGGCCAGCGAGGTGAATGTTGTTAAGAGTGGTAACGATTCAGATGATTCATGCTTTTCTCTATTGATTACTCCAGAGGTTAACCATGCTGATGCATCGGATTGGATGCTGGATTCTGGTACTACTTATCATGTGACTCCCCGACCAGATTAGTTTGTATCTTTCGAGAAGCTCGATGGGGGTGTGGTGGTCATGGGAAATGATCAGTCCAGTGGTATTTGTGGAATAAGTATCGTCAGGATTTGGATGCACGACGGAGTTGTTCGTGAGTTGAATAAAGTGAGATTTGTTCCTCAGCTGAAGAAGAATCTTATTTTTGTTAGAGCTTTGGAGGCAAAAGGATTCAAGGTGACTTTTGACAGTGTTGTAGCAAAAGTTACTAAGGGATCTTTGGTAGAGATGAAGGGAGTCTGCAGTAGAAATCTATATTATCTGAAGGGAAGCACCGAGATTGGTCAGGTAGCTTCAGTAATTTTAGAAGCGGACACGAGCAGACTTTGGCACTACAGATTAGGACACACAGGAGAAAAGTCACTGCAGGCGTTGTGCAAGCAGGGGCTATTGAAGGAAGCTAAGAGTGGGAAGATTGATTTCTATGAGCATTGTGTTCTTGGCAAGAAGACTAAAGTAAAATTTGGGACAACCATTTATAGGACGACGGGCATCTTGGACTATATGCACACGGATGTTTAGGGTCCCACCAAGACAACATCACTTGATAGTCGATATTGGTTCTTCATGTTTGTGGATGACTATTCTAGGCATTGTTGGGTGTACATCATGAAGCATAAGAGTGAAGTCCTAGAGATATTTGTGGAGTGAGAGAGAAGATTGGAACTGCAGATAGGGAGAAAGATCAAGACGTTGAGATCTGACAATGGCGGAGAGTATAATTCAGACCACTTTCAGCAGCTATGTCGAGACGAGAGCATAGAGAGGTACTTCATAGTTAGTCATACAACGCAGCAGAATGGGGTGGGGGGTGGCAGAGAGGTTGAATCGGTCTTTACTAGAGAATGTTCGATATTTGTTATCGCATAGTAGTTTAGAGAAGATCTTTTGGACTGAGGTACTTTCATATGTGAGTCATCTCATTAATAGGATGCCTTCATTTGCGATTGAGGGGAAGACCCCTATGGAGATGTGATCGAAAGAGCCAGCACACGATTGTGATCAGCTCAAGATTTTTGGGTGCCCTGTATTTTATCATGTGAAGACTGATAAGTTGGAACTGTGAGCTAGAAAGACCATATTTGTGGGATTCAAGCATGGAGTGAAAGGATACAAGTTTTGGGATTCGGTTGATAAGAAGATTATGCTGAGCAGAGACGTCATATTCGATAAGGCTTCGCTCTTGAAGCCTCCCAGCTCTCATCAGGTGGAGAGCACCCTGACAGAGGAAACATCACAGGTGGTGAAGATTGATGTAGCTCCACAGAGTCTAGATGAGACCGTATCCATTAGAGTACCGACTGAGGTGACGCCAGACGAGCACAACAATGATTTAGAGGATATATGTATAGTAGAGTAGGATCAGGGACCGACAGCTCAGCTTCAGGATTCTATTACAGTTCGGAGGTCAAGGAGAGACATACGGTTGCCAGCGAGGTATACAGATATAGTGTTTGTGTATGCACTTTCGATGGAGAGTGTCGATGAGATGATTCCTACTACATTCAGAGAGGCTGAGCAGAGTTCAGATGCTGATTTGTGGCAGGAGGCTATGCAGGAGGAGATGGAGTCTCTTCACAAGAACAATACATGGGAACTTATTGAGCTTCCAAAGGGGTACGTATGCAACCACATTAGTGCAGTTGGATTTGGAGAGACGACACATTGGTGTTCTTATTGGTGTCGGCTCAGTTTTGGGAATACTTCGTCGAGTTGGAGAATTGTTGGATAGCAGGTTATTAGGCCAAACATAATTTCTAGTCTGTTTTGATTTTAGTTTTAGAATTGTTGGATTCCTAGTCTGTTTTGGTTTTAGGGTTTCTATATATATAGAACGTTTTATCAGAGAATAAGAGAGAGAAAAAGAGGTTGTTTTGAGCACTTTGAGAGGAAGATTTCTGAGGGGTGAGTTGAGATCTTTTGGTGAGGGTTATTTTGAGTGTTTGAAAGAGTTGTAGCCCATTGTATTTCACCTCCATATAGTAAAATCTCCACATCTTCTCTCTGTGGATGTAGGCAATTTGCCAAACCACGTAAATCTCTGTGTTTGTGATTGGTTTGTGTCGTTCTTTTGTGAATTGCACTCGTTGGTTGTTCTCCTCCTGTTGTTCGCCGACTCGATTGCTTTGTGCGCACGCTTCCGCCGACGCGCAACAGTTGGTTCTGGTGTGAATTGAAATTGAGTATTATTGGAAAATATATTTAGTATTTGTTTTTTAAGGCTTGTATCCGTTGCAGAGAAATGGGAGATGAAGATTCTCTTCAGTCTTGATAGTAGAGAATTCCTACTATTGTCTATGTGAATTAATAAATATTGGTTTATCCAATATGTCTCACAGCTATGAGAGCTTTTCATATAATTTTTGAGTTTTTTTCCTTCCTAAAAAAACCACCTTTAGAATATGATCATTATATCGAAACCACCTTTGATTGTCACGTAATACATATATGGCTACAATCAGCCACATAGACCCACTTTTACGTAATTTTTTTTATTTTTATGTCATGATTACCTAACAAATACCAAGTATATTAGACAGATCGATTATCCTCAGTGGAAGTTAGGTAGTTTCACTTACTGAGAAAATTTAACTGAAAAGTGAGTTCATGTGGTTAATTGCAAGACAATACCCCTTTAAAGATTGCTTATGTATTGATTGATAATCAAAAATGAATTCTATATAATGATCCTATTTTAAAGGTGGTTTCTAGAAAATTATCCTAAATTAGTTAACTTATATATGTCATTCATCATTCATGAGGTTCATAGAATAAAAAGAGGTCATGGTGAGTTGTACAGATGGGACCAGACTTCGAACAAGGTTTTAAATTCTTGACGTCCTTGATGGTAGAGATATCCTAAATTTTGTTCTATGATCAACAACTTAAAAAGACTCATATAAACAATATCTTTCACGGGATCCATATGAAATAAAAAGAAGTTATCGGTGCATTGTTACATTTCTCCGTAGCTATGGATCGATGTAAATGATTTTACTTAAACAGATGATGAAAGCCAAGTTAAGCCACTTAATTTATTAGATATTGATCCAACTTCATATAATCAAACACTAGCCTCATTAGTCGCATCATTTTGAGTATAGCACAATCCTTTTTGAGTATAACTCAAGCAATATATCTATATATATATAAGTTCCATATAATCTTCTTGGAGGATTAATTTAATACAAGTTATTCAACAGTCTATAGAAAGACTTCCTAGAACACCTTATAATGAAAATTGGAATTTTCCTACACAGCGACTAAAACCTAGTATATATTATCCACAAACTTTGCTCTCATACATATAAAAATAATACGTGGCATTGCAACGTCTAAGCTCTACCGGGTGATCTTGAGGAGAGCAGTTTTAACGAGCCCATTTGCAAGGAATGTGTACGTGGCAGTCGTGGGGTGAACGGAGTCCCAGAACATGAATTTGGAGGGATCAGGGCACGTGGGGAAGGGAAACATACATGTTGGACCCATCTCAAATGTTCCCGTTCCACAGCAGCCTCTATTTGCTTCAGTAAATCCTTCAAAAAAAAATTTTTTTGAAGATTAATGAGGATATATACTTCCTATCTGTTTGGCAATCGGAAAGTAAATGAAAAGTAAACTAGAAATTATGTTTTAATTTTATTTCTTTGTTCGACAATTTAGAAGCGACGGTAAAGCTCATAGAACAACGGAGGGTGTCAAACTATTTCTCAAAAAAAAAGAAGAAGAGAAAATGAATGGAAATGGTATATTGAGAAGAAAGACAAATTAATATTTCAATTTTACCCTATTTTAATAAGTAAACAACATATATATATATATGATAAAGTTTGTCATATCGTCTACTACCATAAGTTTTCATCTTTTCTTCCTTCTAGGGGTTGTTTGGTTCGTTTCCTAGATATAGGGAAATGCATTTCCATATACAAAAACATAAGTTTTGAGTTTTTCAAACTTTTCCAAGAAATAGATTGTTTCGTTTTGGTTCGCACAAAAAATGATGGGAAACCAATATATTTATTTTTCTTGTGTTTGGTTCGCATGGAAAAAAAGAGAAAATTTTATGATAATACTTCTATCGTCCAAACAAGATTTGAGAATAGAAAGTCTTGATACAAAATGTTTTCTTAAGAAAGATTCTTTTTTTCCCATTCACTTTATGCTTTCCATTTTTAGCTTCCATTAAGTGCTTTGATAAATAGAATATATACATATTGTCAATTTATAGATCTTCCTTTTTTAAGCCTAAATCTTAAAACTAATATCTCCGATTAGAGTTTGTTAAGCCTCTTTACAATTTCCTCGTGAATCTTTGTCACTCTGTTCGAACATGTATAATAATAAGTGACGCTAAGAAGGAGCGAGCAAACTAACTAAATGCGCCAAGGACTCACCATATTTGCTAGGATTCTTCATCATATCCAACTGTTGATAATAGTGTATTGTAGTGGGTTTTAGTCCCACATTGCTTGGGAGAACAAACCTCACACTCCTCTACTTGTATAAATATATGTGCACACTCAATATTCAATTCAAGGGAAATTTACCCAAGATTCTCTCTCTCTCTCTTACTTTAACATGGTATCAGAGATAGGGCTATTTCCCTTTCAATAAAATTTTTAACGCTTTTGCGTTCTTTTGCCAAATCTTGGCCTTATTGCTTTGCAGCCGTTTAATGTTTTATTTTTTTTATTTTTATTTTTAATTATTTGGCGTTCATCTGCCAGATATTTTGGCCTTGTCGTTTTGCGGCCTCTTAACGCGTTTCGCGTTCTCGTTTAACCTTCGGGTTCTATTTTAAACCTTCGGGTTTCATTCTAACCTTCGGGTTCTATTTTAAACCTTCGGGTTTCATTCTAACCTTCGGGTTCTATTTTAAACCTTCGGGTTTCATTCTAACCTTCGGGTTCTATTTTAACGGCATTGTCGTTTCAAGACCGTCTCTCGGTCTCAAATTAACGGCATCGTCGTTTCAAGCCGTCTCTCGGCCTCAAACGAACGACATTAGTAACAGCATCTCGACATCTTAACGTCTCAAGATTGCTGTTATGGCTCCTTCAGAGAAGATTCCCAAACCACCTTTGCCCCTCAATGATCAAAGTGACTGGGCAGGGTGGTCCACCATTGTCACCAATGCCTTGCGTGGCGCTGGTTTGCTTGATCATCTCACCAGTACGGGACCAGTTCCACCGTCCATCAGCACTGTTGCTTCATCCAGTACTATTGCCTCTGGCAGTGGTGATGTCGATCTTCAGACTGCTCGTGCTCTCTATGTCAAGGAGAGTTCAGAGTGGCAATTGCAGGAATTTCGTGTTATGGATTATCTCACTCGCTGTGTTGGCTCTGGTCTCACTGTCGAGATTGGCTCGCTTCCCTCTGCTCAGGCCATGTGGACTCGTCTCACTGAGCGTTTCACTGAGTGCTCGGGTGCACGGGAGGCATATCTTCTGCAACGCATTTCTCTACAACGCAAAGGTAGTTCATCTCTGCAGTCCCATTTTGGACAAATGCAAGCTTTTTGGACAGAGTTACGCTCCATGCTTCCTGGACGTAATTCCACATATGAAGACTGGCTAGCCTGGTACGAACGGCATGAGGTGCATCAATTGTTTCAGTCCCTTCCTGAATATTCAACTATGGCTGATCAACTACTTCACCAGCCTCAATTTCCGACTTTGGCCTCAGTTATGGGAGCTCTCACTGCTTATGAGACCCGGCAGCAGACAGCACGACTCAATTTGTCAACAGACACTCCTACCTCTTCACTCGAGACTGTTTTGTCTGTACCTGTCACTGCTCCTGTTATGAATTATACTTCTCCACAGGCTCCCTCTCCACAGGCTCGATCTAAGCTCTCTTGCAAATATTGTAAGAAGGAAGGACACCGCATTGAGACATGCTTCAAGCTTCATCCTGAGTTACGTTCCTCAGGTACTGGACGTGGTCGGCGACCCCCTCAGTCTCAACCCTCTCGTACACCAGGATTGTTGGCCAATGCTATACCTTCTACTACTTCAGACTCTACTATTCAAGCTATTGAAAGTCTTCGCCGTCAACTTGATGCTTTTCAACATATCACCTCTACATCCGCCGCACAACTCTCTGGTATGCATTTTGCTGGTTCTTCAGCTAATCCTTCAGTCTCTGGTATGAATGATCTCTGGATTTTTGACTCTGGTTGTTCCTTTCATATGACTTGTAATGCCTCACTTTTATCCTCTGTCTTTACTTCATCCTCTCTTCCTCCTATCTACACAGCTGCTGGACAACCATTGTCCATTACTCAGTATGGCTCTATTACCCCACAAAATGATCCATCTGGTCGTCTAACACTTGGTCCCGTCTATGTGGCTCCACAATTGTGCTTGAATTTAATTTCTATTAGCTCTTTATGCATGGCGGGCCTGTTTGTCTCATTTTCTTCTGATACTTGTATTGTGCAGGATCCACAGACGGGCAAGACGGTTGGGGCGGGTCGTAGGAGGCACAAACTGTATTTTCTGGAATATCTTCACCTTCCAGAGTCCATACGTCCACGTTCTCTTGTTGCTTCTCTTTGTTCGTCAAAACCCTCTACCTCGCTTCCTGCCAATTTATGGCATAGACGACTTGGTCATGTGTGTAATAAAAGGCTGGAGAGTCTTATTCAGTCTGGAGTACTTGGTCCTGTATCATCTAGTTCTAGTATTGAGTCATGTGCTGGTTGCAAATTGGCTAAATTCACTGCTTTACCATTTAAAATGAGTACATCTGTATCCACTTCCTTATTTGATTTAGTACATTCTGATATTTGGGGGCCAGCTCCTTTGCCTTCTTCATCTGGCTACTTATATTATGTTAGTTTTATCGACGATTTCTCTCGTTTTACATGGGTTTACCTACTTAAGAATCGCTCTGACGTACTTACTGCTTATCAAGCCTTCACTGCTATGATTTTCACTCAATGGCAATCTCGTATTAAAGTTTTTCGTTCTGATTGTGCCAAAGAGTACCTATCCTCTGCCATGCGCTCTATCATGTCCTCTCATGGGACTATCTTTCAACAGTCATGTCCCTACACTCATGAGCAAAATGGTGTTGCTGAACGCAAACATCGTCATATCCTCGATACTGCCCGATCAATGCTCATTTCTTACTCTGTTCCTCGTCGTTTCTGGGCTGAGGCTATTCTCACCGCGACTCATGCCATTAATATCACTCCATCTAGCTCTCTTTCCGGTGCTACTCCTTATAGTCGTGTTTATACTCATCCTCCCCGTTATGATCTAGTTCGCGTTTTTGGTTGTCGATGTTTTGTTTTTCTGCCATCTCACGAACGTGATAAATTGTCTCCCAGAGCAGTTTCTTGTGTTTATTTAGGAATTAGTTCAGAACATCGAGGTTATCGTTGTTATGATCCCGCATTCGGTACCTCCGGGGTACTAGCACTCGCTCACTTTTGTTTCCTGCTACATCTAAGTTAGAGCTTTGTGCATATTCTGATGCTGATTGGGCTGGTGATCCAACTACCAGAAAGTCTACCACAGGTTATTGTATATTTCTTGGTGATTCCCTTATTTCCTGGCGAAGTAAGAAACAAGATGTTATTGCTCTTTCCAGTACTGAGGCAGAGTATCGTGCAATGTCCACAACAGCTAAAGAGATTATTCATCTTCGTCGCCTTCTCAGTGATTTCGGTATTTCTGTTACGACTCCTACTCCTCTCTACTGTGATAATAAGAGTGCCATCCAGATTGCTAATAATCCAGTATTTCATGAAAGGACCAAACATATTGAGATCGACGCTCATTTTGTCCGTCACCAAGTTATCAAGGACAAGACAATTCTACTTCCTCATGTTTCATCCGCTGACGAGCTTGCAGATTTCTTCACAAAGGCCTTACCTGTTCATCGGTTCCAGTTTCTTGTACGCAAACTCACTTTGTTTGATCCAACATGAGTTTGAAGGGGGCTGTTGATAATAGTGTATTGTAGTGGGTTTTAGTCCCACATTGCTTGGGAGAACAAACCTCACACTCCTCTACTTGTATAAATATATGTGCACACTCAATATTCAATTCAAGGGAAATTTACCCAAGATTCTCTCTCTCTCTCTTACTTTAACACCAACATAGGAGTGTATGTATCCGCATAAGCAATCTTAGCATCCTTGAAAGAAGTCGCCATCGTGTTGATCAAATCTTGGAGCCTCGCGTTGTATGCTGCGGCTTCAGCGTTCTTCTGGTCGACGCAGACTCGTTGCCCGAGCGCGTGGCCAGCGTCCCATCGGAACGCGGCTAAGGTCATTACGAACGGGAGGCATCCGAGGGGAGGGAGGCCGGCGATTGCAATCCTCCGGCCACCCAGCTTGTATATTCTCTGCACGATGACAGTTGTTTTAGTTTAGTTATCCACCTGAAGGAGAAAGAGGATCGGACGGATGAGAGTATCACACCAAAGCGCTCAGAACAATTCGCTCGCATATGGGGCAGCTATATGATAAGATGCATGCTTATAACGATCTTAATTAGTGTCGAGAAAGTATTTGGCAGACCTGCTCTTAGACCAATGCACAAATCACACAAGGTTGGGTGATTAAAAAACGGGCACTCTTCTGGTGTATTGATAATATTATGGGCCAGATTCACTGGATACTTTCTGACGTATGTTTGTATTGGGTGTCGTTACGTGTCCTATCCTCTCAATGATAGAGTAATCGAAAACCTTATTTCTTGAGCTTTTAATTTCAAAAGCTGCGTATCGATCCTGATCAAAATTTAATTTTTTACTCATTTACTAGGTGATTCAACGACTCAATCAGCTAATCTAATCTAACGCTTGGATAAATTTCACATAAACTCCCATGAACCTTGGGACATTTGTACAAAAATATGGGCCCCGTTCACGCCTCCCCAAAAAAATAAAAAGCCAGTGAAGGGCCTATGTAGAACCAGGACCAATGGGTTGCTATGTCCACCATATTCCAGACACTAAAGCCCAACATTTGTCTTTGACCTGGGGCAGATAATTAGCATCATAGGTCTTGGGCTAAGTTTAGGCCTACAGCACGCAGTTTGGTACATTTCATGTCTGCTAGGTTTGGGCTATTATATTTACATACAATTCACAACAACAAAAAATAATAGTAACAGTAATAAAATGTAATTTTAGCGCATAAATCTTTAAACTTTTTTTTTCGGTTGAAAGTAGAATTATATGATCATGTCATCCATATGCTATCTAATGTAGACCCTCATCTTTTAGATAAAATTCAAAAGAAACCACTTATATCTACGGAAGTACTTCAAATTTTAAAATCTATATCTTCGGAAAATGCTTTGATAGTAAGTTCTTTATTGACGAAATAACATTGTAAATTGATAGAATTCAAACTTAATAACTCTCGATCCTCATCATAACTTTGAAATTTTGGCAGAGTGGAAGATACTTTAAGATGGAATCGGAGTAATTTTCTAGATTCGAATCCTACTGAACACATAATTTCTAAAGCGATTATCAAAAAGAAATTAAGATACCTAGCTCTCCATGAGACCAGCTTTAGGCTCATAAAACATATTACTCATTCTAGGAGAGCGGGCTTGTTAGGATATAAACTTATAACCCTCCAACTACGTCATAATAATTTTTTGAATTTCTAGTGTGGAAGTGGCACGAACTTTAAGACAAAAAAGTTGATTACCTCAACAAAGTACTTCATTCTCTGCAACATAAGCCCATGATAAGCCTCCAAGCTGTACTCCCTCCTCCTAACATCACTCACGTAATAATTATTCATCAAATCATTACTCCCGATGCTCACAACCACAACCGCACCATTCACAATCTCCTCGGCCTTCTTATCGCCCATAGCCCCCCTCAACTTCCCCTTGTACTCCTCAAGCATCTCAACCTGCCTTCCAATGGTCAGCACCCTGGCCGACTCCGACGTGAGGTCGTCGAGGCCGGCGCCAGCGGAGGCGAAGTTGACTCCGGTGGAGAGGTCGGTCAGGGTGAGGGAGGGGTCGAGGTAGGCCGGCCTCGTAGAGGTCGGGCTTGAGGCGGCAGCACGGAGGCGAGCAGACGTCATGGGGATGAGCTCGCCTTTGGAGTAGCTCGCCGGTGGGGAGGTGGCCGGGAAGTCGACTCCGTTTGGGGGGGTGGGTTTTGGCGCGGACGGTGGTCGGGCGAAGTACTGTTTGTTGCGAGTGCGCAAGGTGAGTCGCCAAAAGGCGAGGACGCGGGTGGCGGTCGCGGCGGGGAGGGTTGAGGGGGCGGGTAGGCAGTGATGTAGGCGTGGAGGAGGCGGATCAGGAGGAGGCAGGGAGGTTACGTGCATTGTGGGGCCTTCATGGTTCCTTGAGTATATTGTGTTTGAGCTCATAATTTGAATTGATCTCTCCTTTAATTTGTCTCGTGTTTATGTTTAATTGTTTTGTTGGCTCCTGTTAATTATTGTTGTTCTTATGTAGTGAGTAATATCTTGCATGGGAGAGAAATCAGGGTGGTGAAGGTGTGATTTGTGAGGGGATTCTGTGAGCTTCAATGACCAAGAACTAATTGGTGGAAAATTGATTGTCTGCGCGCGAAGGAAAGGAAAACGTCGGCGAAATTTTTTGGGTTATTAAGGGCTAATTTTTAGCGTGAAAAATATCATAGGCGACCAAAAACATGAGACCCTACATGAGATAGATGACCTGGTGTCGGCTCATTGTCGATGTTTTGCGGTCCCGTAGCATAATAAATTTGGGACCATAACGCTAAGTGGTAGCAGTTTAATTATCCGTTACATTATATTATATTATATACTTCACCGTATGCATTTTGCGTTGCTACCGTTGCAATGATGGTGAAAAATTTGTGTATGACAGGCCAGCATAATATGGACACTTGTATCAAACGCGTTACCATTATATTAGGGTTGTAGATATTATCTTAGTTAGGTTTTTTGCAAATATGATATCCTAAGAATATCTGAACTCGTCATGTTGTATAATCCATTACTCACCCTTTCCAAAACCATAATCCCACCTGCTTATATATGAATTAAGAGATGGGTTCTGTGACCGAGAAATTTCTCAATTATGCTTTACAAAGGAAAATTAATCAAAATATTCCCAGTTTATCAATTGATAAATGTACAGTAAAATGTTAAAATAAAACAATTGAATCCTTAACCCTATTTATCATCCCACTGGATCACCAACAGAAAAAAAATAATGATCTGAATGCATAACCAAAAAATCTCAATAATATCATACAAAGAAGAAATAATTATATAACCATATCGTGTGTATGGTGTGTGCGCGTGATGCCTTGTTAGGGAACAAATTGTGTTGATTCTAAATTTGAACGATGACTTCTTAGGGGTAGTTGTCATTAGTTATTTTTGGATGGAAGTTCCGAATTTAGGTAAAACACTCTACTTTCTTTTTTATAGTATGAGGACCCTATAAAGTTACTTAGAGACATAATTTTTCAAAAAAAAAGTATAGAGACATAATTTTCAGTTACTAAATTTTTTTATGTTTAGCTTTTCTTAGATTGAAGATTATGTTTGTTATCGATTCAAGAGCACTATGATGAATTTGAAGTTTATCACTTCTGCATTGCATTATCAACAATGGGGCGGCGATTTGCATGTATATAAATTATCTTTGAATGTTGCTTGGGCCTTTTAAGTTATTGATTCTTACTTGGGCCCAGAATTGCGGGCCCCAGTACGGCCTTTTTCGGCATATCGTCAAAGTTAAGGGATGGGTGATCTTAGGGGTGGGCAAAAACCGAAACCAAACCGGTTCACCGAAAAAACCCGCCCAAGAGAAAAAACGGATCGTTAACCGACCGAACTTAAATGGCATTGTGAGAAGAAGTCTCTAACCGCCCGAACGAATTTCGATTAAACCGCGTGGTGGATCCGTTATGAGCCCTGAACGCAAAAAAAGACCGAACCGAAGTTTTAAACAAAAAGTTAGCTGCGATCGGCGCGGCCTAGGGCTTCTGAGAGGCCGTTGGGTGTGAAGAAAATTTGTATGCGCTGAATGGCTTTAGATTAAGAATTTGTGGTGCGAGTTATATCCTAACATATTTATTTGAGTACACTGATATAGTTTTAAGTGAGATTTCCGTTAAATCAACTACAAGATGTGACGCTGCTGAAGGATAAATTTAGTGTTTTTTGGTCAAATTTCAAGTGATAACATGGATACAGCTTACTGTTTGCTGTGATATCAAATTAACCTATAGTATAGGTCTGGTTTCGGTGAAAGTCTCCTGTATTCATTGCCTTGCATTCCATTACACTCCTTTGAGATCGTTACAATGAACACAAAGTAGCCTTTCTTATAAGACCGGTACACAATGAAAACAAAACGAACGATGCAACGCTCCTTCACAAACAACCGCAGAGCTGTTTGTCATCTCTTGCTTGCGTAGGTCTGTCTGGCCATGTAGACGCTGGGACGTTGATATCCGTCGGTACCACCGGCGCGCCAATCAGTATCTTGTTCCTGAGAAAATTTCGGGGCAGAGCTTCGTTCTATCCGCTGGAGGGATATTTAGAAGCAGACTTCGTCGATCCGCGTGGGATCTTAGAGCTTATAAGCGTATACCTCGGCCTAAAGCGAGCGTATTAGCTCTTCTTAGTCCATCAAACGCTAAGGCCTTAATACTTAAGGCTTTTTCTCGGTCCCACGGGTGATATGGCAAGGCCGCTGTATTCAAGGCCCTCTCCTCCTCTTGTTTGGAAGCACACGGGCAACTCTTTTCAATGCTGCGGCAGGGCTTCGCCAATGGCCCTTCTCAAAAATCACCCCCTCCTCCTCTCTCTAGCGTTTGCTCCCAAGACAAAAGAATTCCCAGCCCTTTGCAATGCAGCGACCCATGGGTCATTTATAGGCAAAAGAGGGCCGGGGTGGTAAAAGGTTGAGGGACCACCTTTGGGGTGTCTCGGCCTGGCCGGACACCCCTCGGGGTGTCTTCGGCCTGCGGCCGAGCACACCCCTGGGGTGTCTTGGTTTTTCCAAGACACCCCTCGGGTAGTTTCGAGCTTGCCGAGAACACCCCGGTCAGTTGCTAGTTCCAGCTCGAGCTCCCTTCTCGTGGTGTGTTTGTCCGCTTCGGTGTTCCGGTCCGCTCCCAACTCGGATTATTACTTATATTGATTTCGGGATGCGTTGGACATTCTGACGAAGGCAGCTCTGTTCAGCCCCCATGTCGTTGAATTATCAGTAGGGGTCTGGTTTTAATCGTACTTTCCGCAACGTGAACGCGGACCACTACCACCACAGTGAAGGGCCCGGTTGTCGTTATTCTGTGACAGCTGTCGGGCCTTTCCGATGGCACGCGGTCGCTTCGTCTGTTATTCCGAAATCCTTCCGCTCACGTAGCTCGCCGACTCACGCGGTTGCACCTCGATTTCGTCGACGTCGATTAGGCCTATGTTGGATTGCATGGTGACGTTTCATCGTCGTTCGTTAACACATGAACGGATTGTGGAGAACTATAGGCAATTGTCCTCCCCCGTACTGGCCCTTACAATAGCGCTGCTATACGCCCGCTCTGTATCTGCCGACCGCAAGCAGCGCCCGCTTTCCTCCCTGTACGCACGAATCCTGTTTTCGAATCTCTGGCCACCCTCCCACCGTCCACCCTCCGTCAATACTGATATAACCGATTACAATTCTTGAATGAGAAAAGCATGCTAAAAATTAACAGAAAATCCATCAAAAGTGTCGTAGCTCCCATGCCTCTGTGCCGCCTGGCTCCAAACGATTGTTCTTCTCTTAAAAAGCTTACATAATTCGACATCGTCCTCCTAGTGTATAAAGCTAGTTATATTCAGAATCATACAATTTGTATTAAGTGCGACTTAGCTACAGTGTTGATTGTTTCTTTTCATGTTTTGTTGTTCTTATTCAGTTTTGGATCTATACTAAACTTACCCCAGATTTTTAGTGAAATGGTACCGTAGTTATATTCTGCGTTCTAAAACCGAAACCCGCCATCAACCCGTATACCGAACCGATTTTGGTGTTGGTCACCGAATATTGTCGGAGTGTAAGGGGGAAAAATCTGGATCTGGTATGAGGGTTTTGAGAATCGAAAAATCTTCGGACTTGGCGAATGCGGATTGGGCTTCAAAACCGAACCGAACCCGAATACCGCCCAGGCCTAGCGTGATCTAATCAGGGGCTGATTAGCCAAAAAGAAGGGCCTTCCCAGGGTGATAGCACGGTGATAGTGGAGGCTGAGACAAAGCGTACTTCAATAAAAAATATTCGATAGATTCACACAAAATTAATCGTTTTACTAGATTGTTTCCTCGTGCAAACGGAGGGTTCTGATCTTTGCTTTTAAATCGCGCAGGTAAAGTTTTAGCTTTGCCCCTATTTTTCACCCATCAAATATGCAGAAATATCTGCCTAGCTATACAAACAGTTCTTATAGGAATCATGTACTTCAGCTTCTTTATGCGGCTATTGTGTCTCCTGACTTGCCATCTTGATGCAAGTACTGGGTTTAAAATCCATCATTCATATCTTGCCTTGTTTTAATTGACATTAGAGATGATTATTCCAATGCGGTATTAAAATGCAACTAACAATTTGTTTGTCTTGGATATGAATTTTGTGAAATACTGTGACTTTAAATCACAAAGTCAGTTGAATAGCATAATTAGGGTCCGTTGTCTGTTTCCGGATTGCATTTCTACATTCATTGCATTAAACCTAAAATGAGACTCACAATGTTTAACAATCGATGGATCTTCGCCTGCCATACACTTTTTTGTTTGTTATGTGTTTTCATGCCATGATTTGGACGGTGTCACGTTTAGGTAATAAATGCATCAAACTAATCTTCCTAAAAATTATGTATGTTTTCAACTAACATTTGTAAATTAGTCACCTTTCTTCAATAAATTGGGATGTACAAGCCAACAAAAATCAGATTGGATGTGTATCCTTCGTTGTAAATCCTCTTTAGTATCTCTATCACACAAATCATTCACGTTTTTTATTTATTGGTTTTTTCAAAATTCCATTACATATATTAGATTACACTCTGCAAAACAATTTAGCCCCCTTTAGG